AGTAACCTTATGATATAATCTTGATGTTAGTCACGATACGTTTACTAGGCCAATGTCCCACTCAGATAAATTCCATACGTAATACGGCCTATGCTTTGTGATATCCAAACACGCAAATACATTATGAAGTCTACTGCTTACTACGGTTATGGAAGACACGCATAACCTATCATTAGATTCCCTGTTTATCCTGACAAGAAGCGCCTAATTACCTGTAACTCACTACACGTCACCTTCAGCTGGAAAGGAAAGTATATAAGGGGCGCGAGCGCTTCGTGGGCATCATTCTCTCGCCAGACACCGACACCGAACAGCCAGTAAGTGCGAGGAACAAGGTCATTGTCGCCTCGGCATAGATGACCGATCATTTTAGCATCTGGCGAGGAGGACGGAATTTATGTTGTGCTTAGTCATGCATCCATATAAACTTTCGCGTATAGACAACACATGCATACACACACACACACATATATGTATATATATACTTAGGTTATTAATAATTTTATTTTTTCGTTTTCGTTTTTCAGTCAGCATGAAGGTCCTCGCAGCTGTCCTGGCTCTGGCGGGCGTCGCCGCCGCCAACTCCGCCTTCCGCTTCTCCGACGGCTACCTCGACGTCCTCGGCGCAGAGCCCGTTCAGGCCTTCGACTGTGCCGGTCGAAGCTACGGCTATTACGCCGACGTCAGCAGCGACTGCCGAGTGTTCCACGTGTGCCTGCCCGTGGCTGACGACCTGGGCGAGCTCCTCGAGACCGCCCACTTCTCCTTCTTCTGCGGCAACCAGACCGTGTTCAGCCAGGAGTCGCTCACCTGCGCCCACCCCGAGGAGGCCTTCCCCTGCGACCAGGCCGAGACCCTCTTCGACTCCGTCAACGCCCTCTTCGGGGTCATTCCCGACGAAAAATAGGAAGGAAAAGGAGCTGCGATTTTTTATAAAAAAATAAAATAAATTATGTGACGTCCAAAAAATACAAATCCATATAGACCATCACGAGATGCCCTTTTTTACCAAATAGTAAGCGGAAGTCAGTTCAAAAGGTGAGGAAGAAAAGTCAGGCTCAAGTGGTTATCGACTTACATCTATCTTATTACTTACATTCTCATGCTGTTTATTCATCACTGTCTCTGTTTTTCGATCTGTATATCTGTATAGTATACATACATTATATATACATATATATATCCTGTGTGTATATATATATGTATATATGTAAATATATATGTAAACATATATACACATATGTGTGTACAAATAACACACACATGTGTATATATATATACATATATATGTGTGTGTGTGTTTGTGTATGTTTATATATATGTGTGTGTGTGTGTGTAGATAGCTAGTGATAAGGAATTTACAGAACGGCATTGAATATATGCTCTGAAGTATATTCAAACTAGACAATATTCACAAAAAAGGGCAAAATATAAAGAGAAAATTTGTTACAAAAGGGGACAGACTTATAATATGTATACATACATACAAATACACGGACACACAAAGACACACACACACATATATATATATGTATACATGTATATATATATATATATATATATATATATTCATATATACATGTATGTATATATATGATTATATATATTATATTACATATATAATATATATGTATATATACATATGTACATATACGTGTGTATGCATGCGTGTATATATATATATATGTATATACCCACTCTGAGATATATATAGACATATATGTATAAACGTATATATTTGTGTATATATATTTATATACATTGGAATATTTCCATATATACATACATATATATGTATATATGTGAATTTTCACACACACACATATATATATACATTTGTGTATATAGATAGATAGATAGATATGCTTTTATGTGTGTGAATATATATATATATATATATATATATATATATATATATATATACATACATACATACACACATGTATACACATATATATACACATATGTATTTATTTTGCACAAAGGACTTTTCTTCCTTCAGCAGCGTCGAACCGAGGCGTGGCAACATTCACAGTTATGCGGGCCCTGTCTCATGCGCCCCAGAGGGAGGGACATGGTATCTAGAGTGGCAACAATAGACAGTTTGCATTATATGATAAAGGCTTTCTACTGTTTACCTTGTTCGCCATTGCATGTGACAGAGCTGTTTATTGGGCCAAGTCATGAGCTCTTCAGGTGTACAATGGCAGTGTAGGTGTTTGTTTGTTTGGGAGAGGTGTGTGCGCGTGTATGTGTGTATGTAAGTTTGTTTGTGTTTGTTTGTTTGTTTGTGTGTGTGTGCGCGCGTATCTGTTTATGTATGTATTGTACAGCCGACGATTAATTAATTCGAACGCAGCAAGTCACACGAATTCATCAAGAAAAGGGATTGTTCAATTGTTATTAGTATATATGGGTATTATATAATAACATTAAAGCGACATACAGTACTGCATGACCTCCGATGCCTGTCGTTTACATAAATCGGGATCGGGTTTGTAATCCCTCAAAGTGAGATATAAATGTTTCAGATAGATTGACAAATGCTTCACACAGATGCTTCGAAATCTATACGGACTGGGAGTGATCTATGCACCTTATGCACCATTATAAACCCGTATTGTTTTCTATTTAGTCAACACATTCTAATATTAAACTACAAATCTATATCATTATAAAGAAATCTATGCCAATAGTAGAACTTCATTATACATCCGACAGAGTTGCACAGATATAAACATAGAAATTAACACTGGAAGAGAGTGACATGGATAAATCAGAGACGAAATGGTGAATACCAAACTTTGACTTTTCCATGTGTAAAAACATAATTTTGAGATAGGCATTGTACAAAACAAATATTTCGTAATGTTTCCCATACATAAGCAATGTCATTAAAGCCTAAATTCGAATGGCCTCTCATTTCCCAGGAAGGATAAGCATTAAATCACAGAAAATGGAGACTAGGAAAGATTTAATTCTTTGATTGCTCATAATCAAAAAAATGGGCGTAAATATGTGTAGACATTTATATAAATAAACTATTAGATGGTCCTTAAACAACACTGTTCTTTAAAACTTTAACATATATACCTCTCTTCCTTAACTGAAAGCAAATGCGAGAAATATAAACTTCAACGAAAATGTATCCTCTGTCAGCGTTGGTTTTTAACTTTTTTAACGTTTTTAACTCTTTATTTTTTATTCTATTTTTTTTTTTTTTTTTTTTTTTAAGGAAGGAAAGATGATTCATGGGGTTTTATGGAATGTAAATGAGTTTTGTCAAGGACAGGCCGACTACACTTTCCTCGACCCTCTAAATATTTATTACTGTTATTTTTGTCTCTTTTATTATCAGTAAGGCAATTGCTATCATAGAAAGTACTATATTTATCATTAGTAGTGCTATTGTAGGTGTACTTTAGTTTGTGTATTTATAGGTATATTATTCTACTCAACTCAATAGTTCTATCTTTCTATCTCATAATATGTATATGTATGTATGTATTCGTATAAATACACACACACAAACACACACATATATATACATATTGATATTTAATTATAGATAGATAAAGTATATATAAATATATATTTATATAGAGAGAGATATAGATATATTTACGTATATATATATTTTTTTTTCGTGTGTAGTTAGAAGAGTTAAATCAAAATCATAGAGTGTATCATTAAGGCAGCCGCATAATCATTTTTATATCATCTTGTACTTCGATTATCCTGTTAAGGATTTACTATACAAAAGCTTCGCCATTCGTAAATCCCTACACGTCACCTTCAGCTGCACACCGAGTGGAATGGCATGTATATAAGGGGTACGAGCGCTTCGTGGGCATCACTCTCTCGCCAGACACCGACACTAAGCATCCAGTAAGTGAGAGGAAGGTCACTGATAGCGGTCTGAATCCTAGGATCCGGGAAGCTGGACCTATCCTGGGCTTAACCATTCATGGGCTAATGTGATAATGTGTGTAGTGAATCTTTGCAAAAGATCTGATTTACAGAGACAAGCAGTTGCGTTTTCATCATAATTCTCTCTTTGTGTCTCTTCAGTCAGCATGAAGGTCCTCGCAGCTCTCCTGGCTCTGGCGGGCGTCGCCGCCGCCAACTCCGCCTTCCGCTTCTCCGACGGCTACCTCGACGTCCTCGGCGCAGAGCCCGTTCAGGCCTTCGACTGTGCCGGTCGAAGCTACGGCTATTACGCTGACGTCAGCAGCGACTGCCGAGTGTTCCACGTGTGCCTGCCCGTGGCTGACGACCTGGGCGAGCTCCTCGAGACCGCCCACTTCTCCTTCTTCTGCGGCAACCAGACCGTGTTCAGCCAGGAGTCGCTCACCTGCGCCCACCCCGAGGAGGCCTTCCCCTGCGACCAGGCCGAAACCCTCTTCGACTCCGTCAACGCCCTCTTCGGGGTCATTCCTGACGAAAAATAGATGATCTTGCTGTTTATCGACTTGAAGTAAATGAAATGCGGCTAATTTCCATTTATCTTTTCCCTCTTCCATTATCTGCATGTAATAATGTGGAAAAGAATATTTCCGAGTTGAATACATATACAAGAAAACAACTAAAAATCATGTCACTTCTAAATTGTCATTAAGAAGATCTTATACACAAAGATGGGAATGAAAATTGAGACTGGAATTACAACTAATTTAGGACGAAACCCAAACATCACAGGAAGGTATTTTGAGTTTTAAAGGCGACGCTTTGGTTCCATTGGTTCCGTGCAAATGTAGCCTGAATACTTTTGTTCAAATTAGCGTCATAGTACCAGGTAATCATCAGGCCCCAGGGCAGCGTTAAACAAACAGAAGCGCAAATCTACATACATACATACCCACACGTCTTCATTCAAGCTTCTAACTAAAGAAAGTTTCTTCCGTTGTAAGGTTTATTTTCCTTGCTATCATAATTTGACAATAATCCCGTCTTTACTCGTTAAAAAAAAGTATCAGCTCTGCTAACTGAAGCATTTTTCATGCATTTTTCCAGTTTAGAAATTACCTGTCATCGAAATGGTCGATGCAGTGACTGCTTTTCCCTCAGCTTGGATCTCTAACTGTATTTGTTTTCTCTATCTCTCCCTCTGGGTATATATAAACATATATACAGAGACAGAGAGAAGGATGCGTAGGCACACACACATACACACGTGTGCATACATATATATTTCTGTGCGTCTGTATGTGCACGTATATACACAAAGATATGCAAACATTTTTATATCTAATTATTTTGTCTATTTATTCTTATGTTCACTTTTATATGTTTCTCCTTTTGGGATATGCGCGCGTGTGCGTATGTGTTAGTGTTTGTATGTTTGTGCGTATTTATCTTTTGCAATAGAATGCAAATTACAAATTGCGAATCTTTAAATGTAGTTTGCAACCAGAAGAGAAAAATATTGCTCACGAATAAAATGACGTCATCGTGGACGACCTTGTAAACCCCAAAGAAGAACGTGCTAAGCAAGTCGTTCAAGGTCGTTCTGTTCATGAGTGGCTAAGGTCTTTCACCCGCGTGGCAATTCCCTTTTATTGCTGAGATGTTGGCTTCTGGAGATAATTGATGACATTCACACATCATGCTGCCCGAGGAACCAGTCACGGCTGGGGTACCTAGTAAGACGTATGAACAGAAATGAATTAAATGTTATGGCATCTAATAAATTTTATTGCGGACTGACATATTTTCTGAAGGATGATATATTCATGGAATACCTTAGATGAATAGGTGCAATCCATACAGCCATATGAAGCATATGTGAGAAGATATACACATATCTTTACATACACTGAACATCACATGTTGGACAGAAAAGAAAAGATATGAAGAAAGGTAAAGAGAAAGGAGGACTGGGACACGATATGAGGGGTAGAAAATAAC